ACAGATGGAATTTTCCCTGAAAGTTTATTGCCCTGCAAGGACCTGCATGAACGCATAAAAATGATGTGTATACATGACCATAGTAAGGCTTTTGAACAGAAATGTAGTCCAATATGCTCACAAGGTGGCTACTTGCAGGAATCCGATATTGAATGGTATCTCACCAGTCAACTTGTTATAGGACAGATCACTGAAAATGATATTAAAGATTAGTATACTTTGATAAAAAAGGAACAGTAAACTTCTCTTCTGTTGTTGTTTAGTATACTTTGATAAAAAATTAAAAAATTAAAAAAACTTTTGAAACAATGTTAGATGTGAGGTACTTACAGGACCTGGAAAGCAGTGCAATTTCCAATCTCTTGAGGAATTGATCCAGTCAAACTGTTGTTTCGAACATCACTACCAGTAAAAAGGAATAACATGAATCAGCAGATAATAGAGGCTAATAGAATTTGATCTTCTAATATTCGAGTGTGGAACTCTAATATCAATCAACTAGGGTAGTAGCGGGCTATAGTTTGGGTTGTACTTTAAAAAAAACAATCACATGAATGAAGTTAACAGTAACTTACAAGTACCACAGCCCAGTTAGTTGGCATATATCGGATGAAAGGGTACCCACAAAGTTGTTCCCTCGCAGTCCCCTAGGAGATATTATAATGATGATGACATAGAGATGCTTAAAGCAAAAAACGGAACTAATGAATCAAATGGTTATTATGCATGTATATTATGCATACAAATATTGAAGAACTTCATTCCAATAGATAAGCCTCGGTATTTCTCCACTCAACTTGTTTTGTGCAAGGTCCCTGCAAGAATTATCATTTACGGAACACAAAAAATCATCCACGGTTTGAATGGGAGCCTTAGGGCACCTGTTGGGGTGTTCCCGCGGCCCGCGTGACCTTAATGTCACAGGTACGAGTCCCACAAGCAGCCTTTTGAACAAACGGAAAGTAAGGTCTACCTATATCACACCTTGTGGTGGCACCCTTCCCAAGACCCTTGCTAAGTATGGATTCTTTGTGCACCTCACTTCCTTTTTTCACTATGTTCTTTTCAACTTGTTATTCCAATTATCTAGACTCAAGACTCCAGTTTCCAGTCTAAATATTTCTAGTTAAGAAACTCCAGACTCCAGGAACCCGACTCCAGTTAAAACTAAGACGAAAAGAACAAGGTTTTATCTAAATAACCCACAATTCATAACAAGTGAGGGATAAATCGAGAATTGAATATTAACACTTACAAAACTTTTAAGTTTGGAACCTGAGACAATGTCGAAGGAATCGGGCCAATCAAGTGATTGTTTTTCAGAATCCTGGAAACCAAACAGCAGTACATTTTTTTCCAGAATTAACAAGAGGGTCAAGCAAAGAATGGAAAGGACAAAGGAACAAAGCAAAAGTATACTCACAAATACTCAAGTTGCTTTAGCTTTGAAATAGAGAATGGAATGTCTCCATACAGCTCATTGAATGACAGGTCCCTATGGTTAGGAGGGAAACAATTTAGTACGGAGTAATTCCTAAGATAATTACCAGAAAAGGCTTAAACCATTCTACACATTAAATGCCACAAACAATGGTAAGGCCATCTCTAACCCTTTGCACCGTTTTTTTACCAAAAAGTATATACATAATCTCTTGAAGACGTCTCATTACCCCGCTTCGCTCCTCAAATGGGCCCTTAACGAAAAAATGTCACATCATTAGGGCTTGTCTAATTTCAAGCACTACTTACAAGCTTATCAGAGACGAACAATCGCCAATTTCATCAGGAATCTGTCCTGAAAGTCTGTTCTGCTTCAGATCACTTTCCATATAACAAAAAAAACATTTCAACTTGGCATTAATTCATATTTCATGCAATATACATTATTACATAAAATCTAACTTCAAAAATAGACCTAAAAGAGAATATGGCTTTACATGGACACTAGGCTTTTCAGCTTCCCTATTGCTGGAGACAACTCACCATCCATATTCAGACCTGATAGATTCCTACAGTAAAAATGAATCCTCAAATCACAATTTTGGACTCAAAGTGCCCAGAGAATATACTCAAAGTGACACCAAAATAGAAAAGCTCAATCATACTGAGTATATTCCTACACATTGATAATGGTCAGGCCACTATGATGAAGCTAAAAAGTTTCCACTTTTAGTCCCACTACAATTGTGTCATTTCCACTTCTAGTCCCCCAGGGGGTTAATTGTTTCCAAATTTGTCATAATTTCTATACATAAAAAAGTGTCTATTTGATGGCCAAACAGAAAGATTAAAGAGTGACAAGACATCCATTGAATTGCATCAGTTCTTTAAAAAAAAATTACCAAAAGTATAATGAATTAAAGTGGAATTTTTTCTTGAAAATGTCAATATTTAGATTCTTGGTAAAAAAGCTTATGATGAGCCATTTGAGATTAAGACTTTATTTATTTTTAAAAAAATAAAAAGAAAAAGGATAATGGAAATGGTATTACTCACAGTGCTGCAACATTGAAGGTGAAATTGTCACAAGTAACACCTCTCCAAGAACAGTAGTCTGAAGAAGGTGAGTCGGTCCAGTCATACAATATATTGTCAACGTCCCTAATTGACTTCTTAATCTCCAACAAAGCAAGCCCTTTATCCACAATTAAAGCAAAAAAAAAACATAAAAGACCCATTAATCACAGTGAAGGTACTAATAGAACAGAACACCCTTTTTATATAAGACAAGAACAAAACAGAAAACAGTAATTTTCAAAGCACAATTAGGTTATTTAAAGAAAATAAATCGAAATTATTGACACAGATAAACAAAGGGAGAATCTTAACAGTAATTACTGTGTAAAACTACCAAAACAAAATATTTAAAAACCCAGATTTTCAACTCGTGACTCACCTTCATCCGACTCAGCAGAATAAACAAAGCTCAAGAACAACGAGATAGACAATATGAGAAGCAGAGCTTGAGAAGATAATGGCGCCATTTTTCGGTGCCAAAAGAGGAAAAAGATCGACCCTTTCAAGCTCTGAAGGAGAGAAAGAAAAAAAGAAACTATTTTTAAAAATTTTAAAAAAAAACTCAGTTGTAGAAGCCCAGACTCTGCAGTGTTACTGTGTTAGAGCTATGGAGTGAGTGGTGGGGGAATGTCTAGTTGAGTAAAATTGTCTTGTAGACATTGAGAAAGGTGGGTTCTTTGAGGCCGAAGAGAAGAGAAAGGAGTGAGAATATTTACTGAGAACTGTGTGTGTGTGTGAGAGAGAGAGAGAGACTGAGAGAGTCTGATGCATGGGCCTCTGAATTCCTCTGAGCCTCTTCTCCCACTTTTGCTTGAGTGGCCAAGTTTGAAAAAAATGAACTCTCTTATTCCCAACAAAAATCTACTTGCTTTCTTTAACAATAAAGTTCTCCTTTAGACACTTTGTAATTGTATATTAATGTATGTTGTCTATGAATTAATTTTGGCATGGGATATTTACTAAGCTTTCAACTAAGCTTATAGTCTTTGTTGTCTTAATTGATACGGTATAATTTGTATAAACAAAAAAAGATAAGATATTACTCCTTCAGTCCCAAAATAAATTGCATTGTCACTTTTAACGTTTATCAAAAACATTTATTTATTTCTATATTTTCATTGTTCATTTGATAAAATAAAATATTTTTGATGCATCTTATTTTAATAGAATTTTTTATAATCCTTTCAAACATTGTAATTTATAATTTTTATTTTTAAACCAAATTTTAATTACTATCACTTTAATGATACCTTTGGTTGGAGTAAAAAAAGAAATGAAAGAAAATGGAAGAGAGAAAATGGTATTTTCTCTTTTTTGTTGAGCGAGAGAAAGCAGAGAGAAGAGAAAAATGAGATGAATTTTATTTTAAAAAAAATCTCTCCACTTAACGGAAAGAAAATAAAGAGAAAAAGAATGAAAAACTATAATATGGTTGATATAAATGTTTCTTAAATTTTACTTCCCCCGTCCCAAAAAGATCTACTCGTCTCATTTTTTGCGCATTCCATAAAACAGTTCTACCCACATCTAAAATGTCTAAAATTTATCACATTTGTCCTTTATTGTAGGTAGAAGTTGTTTCAAAAAATTTTTTGGCATTTGAGAGTTGAGACGAAATAAAAGTGTTTTATGGGATACAAAAAAAAATGAAATGGGTTGATTTTTTTGGGACGAATGAAGTATTATTTTATAATAACGGTATAAAAGTAATTTATTCAGAGGGTCAAACATCTTGTTCACAAATAAACTTATCGTTCACTATTTACAGAGTCAAACTTTATTTACTTTATTGGCCTATTTTCGTCACCCAATAATATAGTCATGTCACCTCTAGTTTTGTAGATCTTTTGATATAGTTTTCTAATACTACCTCCGTCCCTGAGTATTTGTCCAGTTTTGATTTTTTCCAGTCAACTGTTTTCAACCTTTGACCTATAATGAAATAAAGTATATATTGTATATTAATTAGATAAAATAACATTTTTGAAATATTTGATATGATAAATCTAATAAAATTATTTTTATATCAATATCTAATATCATTTGTATCTAATTTAAAGTCAAAGTTTACCAATTTTGACCGAAAAAAGTCAAAAGTAGACAAATACTCAGGGACGGAGAGAGTATGTAATTTTTATTTTTAAATTTTACACCATTTTTCATATAAAATAATTTAAAAATAACCCCAGTCAAATATCGTAATGCGCAACGGAAAATTTATTTGTGGACGGAGTACCTTTTCTTTGTTTTCACTTATCTATTTGAACAAATAAGGGAAATGATATTTAACATTTTCATTCTCTTAGTTTTCCATTATTTTCTTTCGGATCAAAAGAGACTCTTCGTCTTTATTAAAAAAAAAAGAGTAAAAAAAAAAGTCTCTTCGATGTTCTCATGGAGTCAAGGAGCAACCTCTTCGCCTTCTCCGTTCTAAGTCTTCATTTTTCCTTATAAAAACTGCGTTTCTTTCCCTTATTACTCCATTAATAGCTTCACTCAGCAAAATCTCGTAATACCCATTTGATTCAAATCTTCGATCCCCGTTCTGCGTTCCAAATGGCCTCCGCCACCGCTTCTTCCACCGCACTTTTTGCAGCTCCGGTCGCCCTCAAAGTTTCTCCGGCCAAGCTTTCATCTTCTTCTACCACTCTGAAACCTTATAACAACACCATCAAAAATGGTTCTTTTCTCTCCCTCGCCGCCGCCCCTTCCAAAAGATCCCTTTTTGCCGTCAAGAACCAATCCGAATCATCTTCTTCTTCAATGGGTATATTTCTGACTCTGTTTTCTTTAAAAATATGTTTTTTTTTCGTGTTAGGTTAATGGTTTCTTTCCATGATTCCAGCAAATCCTAATAAGGAGATTCAAGAGCTTTATGTGTACGAGATCAACGAGCGCGATCGCCGGAGCCCGGCGTATCTCCGGCTTAGCTACAACAAGGTGAACTCCCTCGGCGACTTCGTCCCCTTCACCAACAAGCTCTACTCCGGCGACTTGCAGAAGCGGGTCGGGATCACCGCCGGAATCTGCATTCTGATCTCCCACGAGGAGGCGAAGGGCGGCGACCGTTACGAGGCGGTCTACAGCTTCTACTTCGGAGATTACGGGAGCCTCGCCGTGCAGGGACCGTACCTGACTTACGAGGAGTCTTATCTGGCCGTCACCGGCGGGACGGGGATCTTTGAAGGGGTTTCCGGGCAGGTGAAACTGCAGCAGCTGGTCTACCCGTTCAAGCTCTTTTATACGTTTTACTTGAAGGGTATTAAGGATTTGCCGGCGGAGTTGACCGGTAGCCCTGTTCCTCCGACGCCGACCGTTGAGCCTTCTCCGGCGGCCAAGGCTTGTGAGCCCGGAGCTACAATTCCTAATTTCACCAATTAGGTCGTTCTATCTGTTTTTTGTATTTTTTTTTTTTTTGCGATCAGCAAAAAGTCATTCAAGAATTTTAACTTATTATTGCTGCCTACCTTAGGAGGATAAATAAATTGGAGGCCACCTTCATTCGTATTTAATGGTGTTTTTATGTGCTTTTAAGTACTCTCTTTCTATTTAAATATTTGTTTATTTTTATTTTCTTTATTTAAAATTGGTAAATATTGATCTTAAATTTATTAAAAATGATTGTATATATTGATACAAAAGTAGTATTATAGAATTTATTACATTAGATATTTTTAAATTATTATTTTATCTATTTAATCTAAAATATATATTTTATTTAATTATAAGTTAAATGTAAAAATAGTGACTAATAAGTTCTTTATAAGTCAGAAAGACAAGTAGAGTATAATATTTAATTTTAGGTTAATTATTATTCTCTTTTCATATATAGTTTGCATAAAAATTATTTATCAAATTGTTCTTTCACTATTCATAAACATTCTTAAATGATTTATTTATCTTTTAGGTAGTGTTTGGCAATTAAGATTTCATTTCAATTCATGTATTTCAATTGCAAAATTTAAAATCTTGTATTTCAAATGTATTTCATGGATTTTAAATTAAGCTTTGTTTTGAATGAAAAAAATTGACTCAAATTTAAATTTAAAATTTTTAAGTTTTTCAAACATTGAACTTGAGTTTAATCTAGATTTGAAATCCAAATCCATGTTCTCAAACATACCTTACCATTAATGAAATATTTACAAAACAGTCTTTTCTTCATTATGGGTCTGTTTGAAAACAGCATTAGCTATTAGCGTTAGCATTTTGAAAAGGCTATCTATGGACAGCGTTTAGCGTTAGCGTTTTCATATTAATCTGCACCGTTAAAATTTTATCCAAAACGCTAACGCTAATCTCTAACATTATTTCCAAACAGACCATATATCTATTCTCACCATTTACTTGGTGATTAAGTTAGAATTTGTTTACTTAAGTCTTGATTTTGTATTGTACTAACAAAAAGTTTAGTTTTGTATTTATTTCTTGGGGACAAGACTTGTTTTTTGTGGTATTAACAAACGTGTTTGTCAAAGTTTTTTTGGTTATCTCATAATCAACTTTGTTTGTAAGCTATGATATTATTGAATGTCTATAAACTGACCAAAATTATTTATAATTTATTTTTAATGTATAAATTTGTTGATGTTTTGTATATGCTTATAAAGTGACTTATATGTTATAAGTAAAAATTGGCTCTAAAATAAGTATATAATTTTTACTTATTTTTATGAATATTCAAAAATGTCTCATTTAAGTTTATTTTACTGTCAAGAAAGAATATTTTACTTATAGTTAGTTTATAAGTTAAAACTTACTTATCAGATATAATTTACTCCTTTCGTTCTAAAATATATTTATATAAAAATTAAAATATTGATGGTCAAAGTGTCGCATTATATTGGAGATCGTGAAAAATCAAAAGGGAAGTTAATTTTAGGACGGATGGAGTAATAAATATCAATATTGAAAACACCCCCATGGTATAAAAGTAAATCTTGGTGAATTAAAGAAGAAATATACTCCTTTCGTTAAACAATGATCTTCTCATTGCACGTTACGATAGATGTTTCATGACTGAAAAATGAACTGTAATTAAAAAATAAAAATTACGTAGTACATATTAAAAAAATTACATCTAAAAATCAACAAAACTAGAATTGATGTGACTATTATTTTATCAAATGAACTTCAAAAATAGGCTAACGTAGTATGAAAAGATTATTTTTGGACGGATAGATAGGTTTTGAATTTTGATGTAGTAGAAAAGGTTTTTTTGTTTGGATGGAAAAGTGAAAAGAGAAAAATATTATGCTACTTTAATAGAATTTAGTACATTTGTAGCTTAAAAGAAGTGAACATTTTTTCAAAATTAAAATATCTACATGTGAGCCAATAAAAAATGTGAGAAGGTTCACATTTTAAATATAGATTTTAGGACAATGTACTCATCATTCTAAAAGAAAATATCGTTTTGCCCCTTGTATGGATCACTTTGTTTTACTTAGGTCTTGTTCTATTTACCAGATCTAATTGACTATGCTACCTTCTAAATAAAATAAGTTCTGATTTGATAGGAAGTTCACCCCTCAAGATTTATGAGAAAGTTCATTCAAGATTAACTATCAATGAAAGCAAAGATGTTGACTTTTTGTGCGTCATTAAATTTTAAAAAGTATGAATGTATGCTATATTATAATAGATATATTTCCACTAAAAAATATAAAAAAAACCTTATCAAATAATAAGAATAAGTTATAAAGCAAAAAAGCACCAAGTAATAAAAATAAGTTAAAAATAAAAACAAGCTCTTCATAACTCCACAAAAAAGCTTTTCATTTGACTTGGCATAAACTTTAAAAAATGTAAACAATTATGGTTGAAAGTTGTGCAAAGATAAAAAGGATAATAATCACAGAAATTTATAAAAGAAAAAATTATTTTGGGATGTCCCAAAAGAAATCCTTTTTTAAGATGGAGATCGTCATATAGATTTTTTTTATAGAAAAATTTACCTAAATAAGACTAAAACATAATGACTTTCCCAATATAGAACCATATGTTTTTATTTTCCAATGTAGGACTTTTGGTCATTATGAAGTAGTCATTATTCAACTAAATGTTCACGAATACTGGACATATTAAGTCTCATTTAGGAAATAAAAAAGTATAAGTCCTATTAAGGTCATTATTAAGTCCTATTTAGTGTAAATTTCACATTTTTTAAGTTTTTTATAATTAGAGTTAGCATTATTAATGCTCATAAATAAATACTACATCTGTCTTGAAATGAATTATATTGACTACTCATTCACTTTGTCAACTTATTTTTATTGATCATTTTAAAATGTAAAATTGTCATTCTATCTTTTGTTTTGTAAAATATTTCACATAACAATTTACATTTATATAAGGCTATTCAGTTCTCATTTTTTTTGGAATGTAAAAGGACCCATCTTCTCAATTATAGATATTTTTATGGATTTCACTATCTCTATATAGCTTTTTTAAAGTAAATACTCCGTATCTCTTTATACTCTAACTTGCTTTCAACTAAATCTCTAAAAGATAGCTATTACCTATGATTTTACTTTTTTGGTCAAACTAAAACACATAACATTGTGAATTTAAAAAATATATTTAGTTATAATGCAATTTTAATAAAATTGGATGTTTTAAATGTTTTCATTTATATTTATTTTGGAGTCAAATGACACTACAATGTGATCAAAAAATAAATCTGTGATGATTTTTTAAAGGAGTATTCAATTTCATTAAGGAATATACTTAACAGCTAGAACCATGGAGGAAAATAAATCTGATGCATGCTTGGTATTTAAAAGCTTCTCAAATCCTCCGTATAAGTAAAGACTAATGGAAGAAGTAATTTTGTGCCATCATTTTCATTAACGTAAGCTTTCATTAATTAAAAGTCTGTTTGTTGCATCCAAAAGCAAACCAAAATGCAAAAGAAAAATAACACAAATTATTAATTGCTTTAGAAAAACGAATTAATTGGTGAAATTAGGAATTGTAGCACCGGGTTCACACGCCTTGGCCGCCGGAGAAGGCTCAACGGTCGGGGTCGGAGGAACAGGGGTTCCGGTCAACTCCGCCGGCAAATCCTTGATACCCTTCAAGTAAAACGTATAAAAGAGCTTGAACGGGTACACCAGCTGCTGCAATTTCACCTGCCCGGAAACCCCTTCAAAGATCCCCGTCCCGCCGGTGACGGCAAGATAAGACTCCTCGTAAGTCAGGTACGGCCCCTGCACGGCGAGGCTCCCGTAATCGCCGAAGTAGAAGCTGTAGACCGCCTCGTAACGGTCTCCGCCCTTCGCCTCCTCGTGGGAGATCAGAATGCAGATTCCGGCGGTGATCCCGACCCGCTTCTGCAAGTCGCCGGAGTAGAGCTTGTTGGTGAAGGGGACGAGGTCGCCGAGGGAGTTCACCTTGTTGTAGCTAAGCCGGAGATACGCCGGGCTCCGGCGATCACGCTCGTTGATCTCGTAAACATAAAGCTCCTGAACCTCCTTATTAGGATTTGCTGGATTTATGAAAACAAATAATAACAAATGTGACCAAATTTAAGAAAATCCAACGACGAAAAAAAAACATTTTAAAGAAAACAGAGTTAGAAATATACCCATTGAAGAAGATGATGATTCAGATTGGTTCTTGACGGCAAAAATGGATCTTTTGGAAGGGGCGGCGGCGAGGGAGAGAAAAGAACCATTTTTGATGGTGTTATTAAAAGGTTTCAGAGAAGTAGAAGTAGATGAAAACTTGGCCGGAGCCGCCGTGAGGGCGACCGGAGCTGCGAAAAGTGCGAGGGAAGAAGCGGTGGCGGAGGCCATTTGCAATGCTGAACAGGGAACCGAGCAGGTTTGAATTGAATATATCAAATGGTTTTTGAGAGGTTTTGTGAATGAAGCTATGATTGGAGAAAAAGGAAAAGAAAGGCAGTATTTATAAGGATAAATCAAAGGCTGAAACGGAGAAGACGAAGAGGTTGTAATCCCAAGAGGTTGATTTTCTAATCATTTTGACCGTTTCTAATCATCTACCGTCTCTCTCCATGTCACCTTATTCTTCTCCGGAAAACTTTTCTAAGTAATATAAGTATCACATTTTTTTGTCAAACATTAATATTCTTTAATTAGAAAAATATATTTAATTATAATATATATTCATTATAATTAAGTAGTCTTAAAATATAATTTTGATATATTAGATTTTTAAATCATTTATTTATTTATATTATATTTAATTTGTAATTAAAGAGTGTCACTTTTTGAACAAAAAAATGAAAATATGAAGAGTTTTTTAGACGTGATGGGATATTTTTTTTACAATATAAAAATCCCTACAATACTATATTCCTTTTGTCCACCTCTCCATTTATCTTATAATATTCATTATTTTTATAAAATTTACCCTCTCTGTTTTAAGTTTTTTTTCCAGTTCAATTTACGAGTTTGACTGAAATTATTTTCAATATATATAAAATTAAAAATTTAAAAACTACATCAAAAGTTCTAAAAAACAATAGGTGACATGGCTGTATTATTTTATCAAATAACTAATGAAAATAGTTATTTTATCCAATAACTCATTCGGTCGTTCCATTCCAAATTACTTAGTTCGATTAAACAATGTGTAAAATCTCATTTCTTTACAAATAATTTTATTTACAAATTGGTATATATATATAAGGTCAGGATTGTGCTTTAGATTGTGTGATCTAAGGGTCAGGATTGCATCAAAATTAGATGCAACAAAATGGTTTGAAAATGCATCACGTCAAAATGCATCATAATCCTTTGAAAATGTACTATCTCAAAATCTGAGCGCATGATGCAATCTGAGCCGCACAATGCATCAGATCTAACGGCTAGATTTCATTCTCATTTTGACATGATGCGTTTTTAAATCATTTTGGTGCACCTAATTTTGATGCAATCCTGACCCTTAGATCTCACAATCTAAAGCATTAGATTCATTCTTATTTCTTTCATAAGATCGCATTCTCACTTGAACCAAAATCTATATATATATATATATATATATATATATATATATATATATATATATATATATATATATATATTCAATTTTCATATTTAAAAATTATACTCCGTATTAAAAAGTCTACAAATTTAGTGGTGTTATTATTTGTTTTATAAAATAATCAACGAAAATATTTGTGTGTGCAAACAATAATTATCAATAGTCCAATATTCTAACTAGGTCAAAAAATTTGCAACGAAAGAGGTGTGTGTGTGTGTATGTACATTATTTCTACACACTAAATTTACCTCACTAATTTCTACATTATTTTCAATTCATGAGCTCATATGGAACATTTTAAAATTTTAAATATTTTTAAAAAATTCTACTTGGTTTTTTGAATCAAAATATTTTTTTTATTTTCCCACTAAATTTAGTTCTAATTTTTAGATAGGAAAGCTTTTTAAAATAAAAGTTGTAGCCTTAATGACAATGCATATTTATTATTATATATAAAAAACATTTTTCTCGAAAGTAATAAAAGATAATAATGGTGAATAATTTTAAAATTTATACTCCATATAATTTTTTAAAGTAAAACTCATATAACATTTTTTAAAAATAATAAATTAACTATGTGCATAAAAATAGTGAAATGCATATAGGTATAATATATAGAAAAGATAAGGTTTTATACAAAACCAATGGTCATTCAATGTATTACCAATAAAAGTTATTTTAATTAATTAAAAATTGAAATAAGAGATATCAATGTTTTAACATTAAAATTTATATTTTTTAAAATAAATAAAAAAATGAAATAAATGATGGATAGTTTTTTTTAAATCATAATAAAATAATGCATCTGTAGTGATTTTTGTTGAAGGGTGTATTTAGTGTTTTATTAAGTATGGTTATCAACACCCATTTCTTAAGAAGGGATGTTCGGGGAGGTACGGTCTCCAACCCTTTTTCTTAACTTCCTATCACACCATTAAAAATGTGACAAATACCCCATATGCTCCTCTATCCTACTCTAATGTGAGTTCGTATAAAATGAAGGGTGAGATACTGAGATGAGTTATGTGTCATATCGTGAATGGTCGCGTATAGGGGTGAGCACGGTACCACATGGTACAGTATTTAGCCTGTATTGATATAGTACAAAATATTTTAGTATTGTATAGGATTTTACGTTGTATCGATCTTAATCCCAAAATTTCGGTTCGGCATGGTTTGAGATGCTTCAGTTTCGAAATAAATCGGGATGAAAATATACGCACCTAATTTAAACTTTAAAGTGTCACAAAAATATTTATTTTTATAAATTGAAAGCATATTTAAACAAAAAACATAAAAAACAAAAAATGAAAACTTAAATGCAAGAAATGATTGTTAAGCTTAGTCTATATCTCACAACTGCTGTTAATGGATGATAACAAAATGATATTTCCAATGAGTTTTTGTATTTTAAAATTATTCCACAATAAAGTAAAACTCAAATAAAAGTACAATTTGCCCATAATAAAATTTTAGCCAATTTTTAAAAATAAAGTAAACTTACTATTCAATAAAAAATTACAAAAAGATTATTATATTTATAATATATTAGTGTAAATATTCGGTTCAAGATTTTTAGTATGGGAAGTTACTTTGTACCGTTCCCAAATACCAAACTGAATATTCAGTTCGGTATTTTAGCGGTATTTTTTCGGTTTGATATTTTTCATTTCAGCTTTTTCAGTTTTTTCAGAAATTTTTGATATCAGTTCGGTACTTGTTCATCTTTAGTGGCATAAGAGAGGTACCGGAGCAATCCGTGATCTCCAGTCTCCACTCACGCTAGGAGGAGGACTGGACACCTACTTAGCTTGAGGCAAGAGGCAATTGAATTCTTGTATTTGTTGGTCTAGAATTGAAGTGGAATGTGACAATCATTTGAAAGAGAAAATGAATGGGTAGCTATAATGGGCAAGGAATATGGGCCANTCTCCATCCACCTTTTGTGTTTTGCCAAACTTAGCTTTGAACAGTGGTGCACCATGTTCCTCTAAGCTCTCTCTACCTAGCCAAAGCATACAGTTAGGTCAAATTTAAAAGCTAAGTTTTGAATGGGGAAATGATGATGGCACCAACACCTCCTCCATTTCAAGGTTGGGGCTTGGCACAATTATATTAGGGAAAATGCTAGGGGTACACCAAAAGTGTACCCCAAACATCCCCACCCCCTCTATCACCACACAAAAAAGCAAGAAAATTTCAAAAAAAAAAATAAAAAATAAAAAGAAAATAAAATAAATGGTATAGAGGCAAGTGGTGTACATTTGGGGTACACCAACCCCTAGCATATCCCTTATATTAGTGCACAAAAATAGCTCAATGTCACAAGGAAACATAAATCAATTGGTTGGTATCAAATGTAAAATATTAGATCTCTGCAAATGTCACGGACTTGATTTTAATTTATCGATCAGATTAAGATATCATGGATTAAAACGTAGTTTATCGATCGTCTCTCGTTTAATTTTGATAAAAGAAAGTATGTTTGATTTTGCAAGAATGACTTTTTAGAGTTGACAATGACAATATTTCTTTTTGGTGTTCTCAAGATAAACATTGCATTTTTCTCTCAATGAAAAATGTGTCTCGAAATCTTTCACTTCATCTAATTAAATTTAAATGATTCACTTTTTATTTTTCTACATTTTCCAGACTTTGTAAATTAAATACCATCCTTCCTAAAGCGTTCTTCCCGTCTCTGTTTACGATGTTTGACTGACTTTATTTTTAATTCAATTTATTTGATTTTAGGTATAAAATTTAAAAATAAAATTTATATATCTAAGAACTACATCAAAAGTATACAACAAGAGGTTACAAAACTTATTATTTTATGAAATAACAAACGATAATAGGTAAAAAAGATGATTAAAGTTTGATAGTGTGAGAAGGAGTAACAAAGTTTATTTTAGGACGGAGGGAGTCAATGATAATCATATAATTAAATTTGGAGTATGGAGTAATTTTTTATTAAGGCTTCGTTTGACATTAAGTTTAGCATTTAGTTTATATTTTTGAATATATACAACATTAAAAATTATCTAAAATATTAACACTAATCACAAACGATCTTTCCAAATGTGATCTAAGCCTCGAAAAAACAATGGAGTTTATTTACTCCTTCGGTTTCAAATTAAACATTTTACTTTGATTTCACAGAGTTTAAAAATATTGAAAAGTAAGTGATTGAAACTTATTTACAAAAAACAAAGAAAAATTATAAACTACATACTACTCTGTATTATTTTATTAAATACGGAGTAAATTCCAAAAAGAAAAAAAGAGAATATGACAATTAATGACTGGGATTAGTTTTTTTTTCTTTTTGGTGTACCAAATGAAATTGAAAAAAACCGGCGGGTTCTACTAGATACAATTGGGCCGGTTCATATAAGAGTAACCTTCAAATGTGAACATTTGGACTGAAGCCCAATTCATTTCTTTCTAAGTTTCGGAAAAATCTCATATCGTCGTCATCTTCCACAAGCTTCCCGTCCACCATTCTCAGGTATTTCGTTCTTCTTCGCTCCAATCTAATCCAATTCGAACAGAAATTCGGTCTTTGTTCGAACTATAAAGATGCGAAACACAGTTATATATTTTTTTGTTGCTGTAAACTTTAATGAGTTTTTTTCGGTCTGTGCTCGAAGAGTCCACACCTGAAAGTCTAATCTAAAGATCTTCTAATAGTTCTATGTTTTTGAAGATGTGTATGAAACGCTCTCTACATGTCTTAATTTCACTTTCCTGCTACGTTGTTGCATTTTAATTGTGTTTTTATTCTTTTTGCGATTTTATGCAATATTTTTATTTTTTAAAAATTATCAGTCTTTTTTTGTAATGAAAAGAACCAGGAGATCTATTACCCTTAAAATATACGAAGCATGTATTTTAATTTAATTTGTACTATCATCTACTATACATGAAGAAATATGCGATATTGTTTAAGTTATTGACTAAACACTTCACTCTTTGGGTGGGGATAAACTGCAAAAAGTTTAATTTTTTGTATTGTCATTTTGTCAACCACACAATACCTTTATTTATTGCTATTGTTGGATTTTTGGAGTAAATAATCCACAGATTCTGGCATTCTGCACAACTCCCACTTCCAACTGTGCACTATGTTTGAAACGCGAAAAATCTAAGAATAGAAGCAAATTGTAAACATGTGAAAGATACTAAGAATCCAGGATGTGTGCTTTTACCGAAGCAACCACACGTTTTTTTAGTGTTTCTTGGTTCAGCAGAAAGAATGGTTTTCCTCAATCTTAATTCTCAATCGTGACAGTTCTGTTAATTGCGATAATTTCAGGAGGTATAGGCTAGAAATGTCATTGGTTGCTAGCGCTGTTGCAAGTCCTGCTATAATTCCAACAGGTATGTTCAGTATTATCTCTAGTAGCCATGGTTTTAAAAGCATGTCCTAATTATTCAGGTGATAATTCTTTTATAGCCGCTCAATGCACACTACTGAACTACAAAGTTTTTTTATTTTTATGAAAGGCAATATGCTAGATACAAATTATCGCGTATATTATTGGGAGTTTGATATAAAGAAAATGTGAATGAGAAGGATTTGCTTTACCGAACATTAGAGAGTTTTCTACATGTCAAAGCTCGCTACCATGAAGTCCGGAACACACATATAGTACTCATAACCAATATTAATTCATCAGATCATTCATATTTATGACATTGCAATACTTTGGTGTTTTCTAGACAGTAATGAGTCGTGTCCTTTGGCATATTGCTAACTTATTTTCCAGGTTCGTTATAGACCGCATGAGATTTTAAAAAGCTGCTTCATGAGCTGCATCTTTTCATTTATCATTTCATTTTGTGATATGTTTCGTGCTCTAGAGTTTATATGGAGAAAAGGTTGCCAGTCACGTGGTTGATTTAGTTACATTAGAGCTCCTTTTATTTACAGTACAGTCTCGGTTTAAGAACACTTTGTCCAAGAAGAACCTCTAGTTTATTACGGAGTAGAAAATATTGGTCTCACTCTCATTTAAGGATTTGTTTCCACTAATATCCCTATCTAGCTATAATCTCTTAATATTGTATAGAAATTTGCTTGCAGGGAATCAATGTTGTAAACAACACATCAAGCATATTTCTTTTATTCCACTTGGACTAAAGCCTTTTCATGCAAAACTAGAACTCATTGAAGGTAGAAGACGTTCTTCGCAAGGGAGACATTTTTCCATAATTTGTTCAGCTGTTCTGGTAATTTCTTTTTTCTAACACACTGGTTGTATGTACAAGAGTAGCTTGTTGGTCTCTTAGCACTTTAGCACTCATCTTCCTGTCTTAATATGCTTAATGGGGCACTTACTTGATGCTAAGTTGTCTTTTAAATTTTAAGAAATTATGCTTTTTAAAATGCATTTTGAATAGACGCAATTCTATAAAGGCTGGGTATTGCTCGTTTTTTAGTGTGTGATACTTGTATTGGAAGTGAATATTACTCCGTATATGCTGTTTATTTGGAGAGATATTCTCTCTGTCACACAAAAAGGTTCTACAATGAAATCAACACAATTATTAAGAAAATGTGAAATTTTATTATTGAATGTGGTGCAAAGGAGAGATAAGATATGTTATGCACATGAATGGAAAGCAAAATCGTTTTAGGGACAAAAGCAAAAAGAAGTTTGAATCTTTGTTATGGGATAGAGGGATTAAGAGAGAACAAGAAGATAAAGATTTGTACATTCTTATGAAAAAGAAAAAAATAAGCTAAAATTGATATGAAGAAGAGATAGATAGTTCTGTATAAAGAATAGTATAAAGGCATTCCACCTTTGCCTCCACCTTCTCACAGAAGCGTGCACGCACAACGAAATATGTAGTCTTTTGCGTGCCGCTGAGAAAGTGAAGGCATAGGGTGGGGTGCCTTCAGGTGGTCTCTAATATAAATGAGGAGCAGAGCAGGTATTAAAAGGGCTCCCTACTCCCTTTTTCTCATGAGAGGAGAGAATATAAATTTGTGGGATGTACAATTTCTCTCTCTCCATTTTCATTACGAAGCAAACATGAGGAAATTACTGTTTCTCCTTTCTTGTTTTGTATTTCTTTTTACTCGTCAACCCAACGAAGGCCTAAAGTTTGAGGTTAATTGTTTTCAACCGAGTTTTTTGAGAGTAAAAAGTGGAACCTACTGCACAATGATGAATTATTTCATAAAGTGCAAATGTGCAACATGTTTGCAACACTTTTTTTTTCTTGGAAACAACCTCTCTACTTCCGAGTAGGGGTAAGGTTTTTGCGCACACACACCCTCCCCAAAAACTTTACATCCCTGTTAGAAATTAGTAACATTTTACCGAGTTTATTCTTGTTGCTTTTTTTGCTGTTAACAACCCAAGCTCTTCTTCAGAATGCAAGATGTGCTGCCGAAGGGCAAACCCAAACCGTTACCCGTCAGTCGTCAACCATTACAGTTGCGCCTAGTCAAGGTCAGTTTTTCAAGGGTTTTTATTTTATTGCCAGATATTTTCTTTTCCAGAAATGTGATATTATAGAAAAAAAGTTTCTCAAGTGTTAAACTTTATCCAGGAAAGGAGAAATCTCCGGAGCTTGACGATGGTGGGGCAGGATTGCCGCCCCGTGACGATGACGGAGGTGGCGGTGGCGGCGGTGGCGGAGGCAATTGGTCGGGCGGGTTCTTCTTCTTTGGCTTTCTTGCTTTGTTGGGACTTTTAAAGGACCGAGAAAGTGAAGGGCCTTATCAAGAAGACAGAAGATGAATCAAAAGCATTTTCTGTGCAGTCGCGGTATCTCATATTCCATCTACGGTTTTTAATGGCAAATGCTTCTGGGCTGTTTTTGGTTCATACAGACGAGAGGATAATGTCATGTTCTCGAGGCCGATTATATTGCAATTTTACTATTGAAAGAGGCACTTCTAAACACACATTAGCATCTAAAGAGCCATCTCTAGGCCTAGTTGAAAGAGGCATGCCCCTAGAGTCCCTAAATTTATAGGGCGCCAAATCTTTTAAGGACATACTAGGGGTATACCAAATGGTATACTTCATTTTACCCCAAGACTTTTACAAACACGCACAGGTGAGACATCCAATGTCTGTGCATGCACACTGTAAAAACTTTGGGGTACAAATGAGGTACACTATTTGGGGTACCCTAGCATTATTGATCTTTTAAACATGTACTTAAACAAGTCTTTAAACAAGTTGTGAAGCAATCACCTTTTTTCTCTCTCTCTCTCAAAGGACATTAGAGAAAGTAAGCTTTTCAAGACTCTATTGGGATAGTAGTGTGTAATTACTAATGTCGCACTTGCATAACTCTGTGATTACAAGGAATATTTGATGGTCAATGTTGAATTATTATGTAAGTATGAGTCTAAAAATAGATTATAGTTAAAATGTGATTTAACATGTTTTTATTTTCAAAATGTAATTGGAACAAGTAATTCTCTTTATAAAATTACACCATTAGGGTATAGTTGAAACCATTAGAGTATAGTTGAAACACGTAATCACCCTAATTGTCTAATTCAGCCACCTAATAAAATTGTAAATTATTCCTCTCCGTCCACTAATCAATTTACTCAATCTTTAAATTCTTAACTTTTTTGAGTGCTATTGACTCGATTACAAAATTTGACTCTAAAGTCAGAATTTAATTGGGGGTGCAATTGAAGGGGAAGGGGGGTGTGTTCGGATCGGGGTGGGGGTGAGGGGTTTACCGGGGGTTAGAGGTGGTAGGAACCGTCAATTATATGAACGAGGTACCGGAGCGTCCTTGAATCGCCCCGTAAATGATTGGGGTTCCTGTGACATTAGAAACTCCATTCCATGTGGTAAAATTAACTACACTCATCGAGTTTGTCATTTAGAACCTTTCCGTTTTTAAATTAGGAGTGAAATTTGAACTTGTGATTTAATTTCTGGTAAATAAGCTCAAAGTTATCTCACACTCCATACAAATCTCACTCACTCTCCTTATCTTCAACCCAAGTGGAATCCATTAAAGAAGAAGAGAGCGGAACAGAAACAAACATAAGCTGCAGAAAATCCTCCATCAATGGATCCACAAGAGAAGCAAAATCCGGCGCCTTCGAATTGCATTATCTCTCTGCCTTTCCACGCGCCGCCGTTCTTCCTCCACCTCTTCAGGCAACGAAACTCCAAACCAAGCGCTGTTCACCTGCTAAAAGCGGCGGAGGACTCATCGCGTCAGTTCCAGAGCTCCGCCGTCTCCTCCGCCCACGGCTGTCTCAGATCTCTCCATTTCCTATTTTCCCACCACCCATTTATCAACAAGCTGCTTTTTCTCTCTTCTCGTCTCCAAGGCCTCAGCCAGGTAATCAATTACCTCTGCCAATTCATTTTTGGCACTACCAATTCCAAATCTACATATTTATATGCTACCAAACAACAGAAATAGAATTGTTGTCCCCAATTCCAATTCCAATTCCGTGTACCAAACAGAGCCTTAGTGTCTATTTATAGAGATTCAGTTTGTAAATGGTAGAGCCTAAATAGCTGCCATACCTTGTTGTTTATATGCTCAACATGAAAGCCTTTCAAAGTTTGAGAAAAACACCATGGGATATCTTTCTCTTGATCAAGCTCTTGTGTTATTGATAATATACATGGAAGTCTTTGTGAAGGGATGCAATAGTTTCTGATATCAGACTTGGTACATATTTCGCATACCTTAATGGAGATGTATTGTAGCTTTTGGTTACAATGAATCCAGTAAAACCCCATAAAAAGTAGGGTTTTGGAGAGGGTGTGTACTCAAACATTACCCTTACATGGGAGTAGAGAGTAGGTTTTGGTTCATGGTAGGAAATATAACGGCAAATGATGCACGGAGTACTTGACTAATTAAGTTTTTGATTTGGTAGCTTAGCTTGGCCAAGAAGCTAATAAAATTTTAGCCTTTGAATGCCATTTCTAACTACTCCGTAACATGGCTTAGTTTAGTTTTGAAAGTAACGTTGTATTGCCAACAACAACCCAATAGAATCCCGCAAAAGTCGGGTCTCGGGAGGGTGTGAGTACGCTCACCCTACCCCTACTTGCTAGTAGAGTGATTTCCAAGTAACGTTGTATTGCCATGAGAGCTGATTTACCAAACATTTTCTACCCAAGAGTAGGGTGGCAATATGTACGCATCCATACCTCTAGTGCAAAGAGTAAAATGGTTGTTTCTACAAACAACAATACGATATCAAGAGGTCAATGGTGTGTCGAGGGTGTGTCGTAAGTTTTGTATTTTTTTCATTTTGAGCTTTCTACGGGTTTTTTTTCATCATGCAAAATGTAGGACCTGTTTGATAATAGTGTTAGAGGTTAGAGTTAACATTTTGAAAACACTATCTAACGACAACGTATAGCTTTAGCATTTTCAAATGCCATTAAAATTTTATCCAAAACGTTAATGCTAATACAAACAATGTTCCCAAACAAGCCCATAATGTGTTCTCATATCCTCTACCTCTCTACTTCATAGTAGGGGTAAGGTCTGTAGATTTTACTGGATTTTTTCATATTTCCCCTAGCTCTTTCTCCATCTTTCTCATTTTATTGACCTATGAACTCCTTACTTTCCAAACTCACTTTCTATCTTTTATTTTCTTTAAAGATTTCTCTAAACCTTTTTTTTCTTTTTTTTTTGCATTTCATATAACTTTTCATAACTTGAATTACTTATATTAAAGCATCTCAAAAATTAAGTGAAACTCAAATCACACAGTTCTTGACCTTGTTTTCCGCCATCGTATTTCACCAAGCACCTATTTGACTACTACGTACTACCATATTGTCCATAATATATACCATGGTAAGGATAAGTGTGAGGCCTAACTCACCCCTAAAGAGCTCTCAAGAAGTAACGTTTTATCGCGTACAGAGTAATTAAAAAGGGATTCTTTTGTTCATATTTACCCTAACGTGGGATAACGCTCACACCCCATTAACATATTTTGAACATCATTGGCTTCCAGATTCAACGCAGCAAAGGTTGTAAGAACATCAAAGTTATATCCACTGGCCACAATTTCGCAGCCATTTTACCCGGAGATTCAGTGGCAGGAGTTGTGGTCGCCAATGGCGTTTTGAACTTCTTGAACATCTACAACTCATTGCTTGTAGTCAGGCTTGTTTTAACTTGGTTCCCTAATGTTCCCCCTGCCATTGTCACCCCCCTCAGGTAAGTTATTCTTAACATTTCCTTCTTTTTTTAACCTTCTTGAAACTAAATTATATGCTGAGCATTTCTTCCGGGAGAATTTCAACCTTCACTGTATTGAAAGCTCTCCATTCTGTTCAAATTGATGTTAAAAGAGTTTGAAAAAGTGCAGATATCTTGTTAAACATGAATTTCTTTGTTAACTTTCATTTAATATTCATAATTCATCAACCCTATCTGAATTGAACTATTTGTGGCTTGATCTTTGCCACCATCATAGGCAACTCGAAAGTGTTACGTTCTAAGGCAGCGTTCCGTTCAACTTACTTTTTCTACTTATTACTTATTCTTATTATAATCAGATCAGACCAGATCAGATCAGAAACAACTTTAAATATAACTGCAATCAGATCACACCAGATCATACCAGATCTTCAAAAAATCAGATCAGATCAGGCGAACGGAACTCAGCCTTTTATGGGAAAACTGTAGGACCCTCAAGTCACCCGGTGTCATATTATGACACTCATGCTGGGTGTCAAAAGAACCTAGCTCTATTTATTATCACCCCATCTATCTCTTCCAAATCTTCAATGTGATATCCTTAGATCATAACAACATTCAATGTTTTTTCTTACATAACAATGTTGATGGTTTCTTTCAGCACATTGTGTGATCCCTATTTGAATGTATTCCGGGGAATCATCCCGCCACTCGGAGGGACCCTGGACCTGTCACCTATCTTGGCTTTTCTAGTATTAAACGCCTTTACGAGCGCGGCTGCTGCCCTTCCCGCCGAGCTTCCGCCCACGGGGTTGTCTCAGAATCATCCCACAACTCATACAATGGAACCAGCTCATCGCCGTACCACCACATCACAAGAGAAATGGATGAGACGACTCGCTGCTGGGAACCGGTTGAGGACCGGTTTTGGTAAAAAATAAAGCCTTATCTCCTGCTTCTCTTTGTAGTTTATGCTTTTTTTAAAATTGGTTTACACTTTTCCTCGGGTTGATACCTGAGAACAAAGCTCTCAAAGCTGTGCTTTTTTTTAAGATGTGATTTTATTTAACAGAAAAATTCTTTGAAATCGCCGGGAATACCCTTTCTATAACTAAAACTCAAGATGTCTTGTACTGAAATGTAGCCGAACCAAATATAGTCAAACCAAAATTAGACTCGAAAGTGATCAAATTCAAACCGGGCATATCTGTAATGAATGAAATCCGAACTGAATCATAGTCAAATAACACGAAGTCCAAACCAAATCAAACTTGAACCGAATCATAAGTGAGTCATGAGTATGAAAAATGCGATCTTTTTTTTTGTATGTATTTTGAAAATGTTGCTCTGATAATAATATGACAACACTAATAAGTTTTACCAGTTACTTTTATTTGAACTGATCATTTTTTTGTTCACTTCACTACTACAGTTTATATAAGATTGACTAAAAGAGTTGTATTATATTTTTAGTTTGTAACTAAGTTGTAACTTATTTTTGAAAAAGGATATTACTTATTGTCCTCTTTCAAACATAATACAATTACAGGTTATATAAGTTTTTTTGTTAACATAAAGAGGTGACTAAAATGTGAATTTTCTTTCGTTATATAAGATTTTTTTTTGTACAAGTTATTTATAGGATCATTCGTGAAATTTACTTTTTACTCCATATTATTTTTTAAAAAAAGTAGTTTTAGCTTTGGACTCGAGCCAGTCCCGAGCACGGACTTCTTGGGTCGGAGCCCGTTTTTTCCGGGCCGGATCAGGATCAGCTCTCTAGTTACAATAGAGACTAGCTTCAATTCTATGAATTGAAGGAATCAGAATCAGATTCCTGATACACATTATTACCACATCAGTTTGGGTCTTTATTGCGTTATGAAGAAGACTTCTCCCTCTATGTTTTTTTTTTCAATTAATAGAATTCTCTGCTTAATTTCCATTGGTTTAATACTTGATAAATTAAGCTGCAGATTCCTTGAAGAATATAACCTTTCTTTTTCATGCATAAAAGCTTACCTTTTTCATCTTAAAAGCATCTCTTATTTTTCACTTTTTATATTTTCTATATAAGCATTTTAATAATATTGTGATATAGACACACACACACTTCTAAGATTAGCTTGTGAAAGTAGTACTAATGGAAGAGGGAAGGAGACAAATGGTGATGAGGTCATCATCAAATGAGCACAAGCTTCTAGCCATAGCCCTCACCCTTGTTGCAATCATCTCCCCTATTTACATTGACAGGAGGAGGAGGAAAGCCAGCACAGGCCGCCAGTCGGACCCTGACGAAGAAACCCTGACTGGCGGCCCGTCTGCCTCCTTCCTTCTCCTCCTCCTCATCGTCGTCTCCGTCGCAGCGGCCGCCGCGACGGCGACACGTGGCGCGATCAGACTCGCGTCCTACAGGCGGCCCGGGGCCATCGCGCTGGCGGTCGTGGCGGTTCTCTCCCCGCTCTACATCAACAGGGAGGAGTCGGAGGAGGAGGCGGGGAAGGAGGGGGCGCCGTTCGGGAACGGCTTCGTGCAGCTTTTTGTGCTGATGGGGCTTGTGGTTGCCATAGCTCTGTCTTGTTACTTTGACAGAAGCTTTACCAGGTTTGATCCATATTGGATTCACAGGGTTGGTGGTTCATCTACTGGGATTCTCATTCTCTTGCTTGTTCTTGCTTCTGTTTTGAAGCTCAAAGCTTATTAGGACACCATGGATGGTAGTCGGGTACACCTGACACAATCGGTTCGTTTTCAGTTCGGGTCTCTTTTGCGTACAAAGTTTATTTTGACCATAAAATTATCAGAAACGCTAATGCTACTTGAAAATGGTGTTTCTAAACAAAGCTTATGTTTAATTTGATTCTCTATTTGTTTACGGTTCAAGTGCATATTGGTTTGGTTAGTTATCGGTTTGGATGGAATGGGTTCGAGTATCAATCAATTTTCAGTCGTGGGGTATTAGTTTCTGGCCTTTTGACACTAAAATTTAGTTAAAATTAGAATAAAGATATCCAATCCAAACTCTATCACAATCTCCAACAATAAAGACTAGATTAAGATCAATGCCTAAAAAACAATTTCCAAAGCGTCACGAGCAGGTTCGCCTTATATTACAAATATGAGTTTTTTTCACGTCATTTATCTCCGAATTCTATTAAAAACATATTAGTGGTCTCTGAACATTTTAAAACCTTGCATCAATATACTTAATCTGACTTGATGAAGAGCTTGATCGAAAAATGCTCGTGCTCTCAGATTTCAAAGGCTAAAAATATAGATGATAATATTTGGGAAGGATATATTACATAACTCACATGTGATGTGAAATATGATTTTAGATGAAGTCATATTTAGACTGGACGAGCGTACACGTGATTAATGTATTCTTAAATCTAGCACAGAAGTATCCTTGATACAACGTTTCTAAATGGTCAAAGATAAGTAGTATACTTTTTAAAATCCAAAAGAAATCTAGAAATTTTTAAAGAATTTAGAGACAAGTGACATAAAAAATTCTTACAATTACTCATATAATTAATCAAACTTTGCAGAACTTGACATACTTTTAGACCGGGTTGATAAGTTTATAGCAGAGCTGGCTGGGTATAATAACCATTGTTTTCGGTACAAACAAAAAATAAAACCAAAAAGTTAGGGGGAGCAACTAGATTCGCAATGTGATCGCATGGTTGCAGTATTTCACGTGCAACTGGATGGCATTTTGCATAAAGCTGCTGAGCTTGTTTGTTATTACTCACTCCGTTCCATAAAATCTTTCCTCTTTCGTCTATTTTGCTTTTCACAAAACACTTTCACTTTCTATCAAAAAAACCAATTTTACCCTTACTTTTTCATACCTTACCTATCGCATCATACTTTTTTTACTAATAACCAAACTATCACATCTTACTTTTTCCCATCACATCAGGGGCAAAATTAGAAAGTTAACCAAAATTACACTTTGTTTATTTTTTTCCCAGACTCAAAACCGGAAGAGTTTTGTGGACCGGAGGGAGTATTATATACGGAGTATTATCAATCGTGGAAGATGAGCTCTGGTTAATTAGACTATGTGTTATGATGGGCTTGACGGGGATTGATGAAGCGTCATACACGCGCCGTGTATGTGGTTGAGTATGGATAAAAGTATATGTGTTATGGGGCGTGACCGAAAAGCGGTGGGGTGAAGATGTTAATATGTGTTAAATTTTGATTTGTTAAAGAAAAATAAAATTAGAAGCAAGCCGTCACGCCGGGATGGCGGTCACAGCCAAAGGGGACACGCCCCATAACGGAATGCCTTATTATTATTAGAAAAATGCTAGGGGTACACCAAAGGTGTACCCCATATGTCTCCCACCCCTTCCTTGTCCACTAAAAAAGGCAAAAAAATTTAAAAAAATAAGTAAATAAAAATCAAATAAAAATGTGTGGTGGAGAAGAAGGTGGTGTACATTTGGATACACCTTTTGGTGTACCCCTAGCATTGCTCGTATTATTACTATCAATGGAATTGAACATTACTGAAAATAAGTTCAATAATGTTGCAGGTTTGCAAGTCATTTGAAACCATATAGTGCCAATATTAACTTTGTTTCCTCAATTTTTTTGGATGATCAATTCAAGGAATCAAGAACTGCATTCACGGACCAAATTACAACGTCTCATAAATGAATGTGAGAGGAACAAAAACTCAGTCAAAACAAACTCAAAATTAGCACAAGATTTAGTTTTAATGCCTTTTATGATGTTTTATCTTTTGAAAAGAATGGTCTATTAATTTCTATATGATACTTTTTCCGTGCGTCATAGATCTTCCATATGATATTCACATGGTCAACTTTAAATTACTTTGTTTATTTTTACTACTCATTTCATGATAATATATATAGTCTTGTCACATCTAGTTTTGTAGAACTCTTTGTTTAGTTTTTCACTATATAAATTTTATTTTAAAAATTTACCCTTATAACCAAATAAATTGATTTAAAAATAAAGTCGATCAAGTCTCGTAACGCGTAACGAGAAGATCTTTAGTAGACGGAGAAAGAACTAAATATTGTGCTTTTCATCTTGATTGAAATTTTCTTATCTCTTGGGCTGGAGTGATCCCCATCACATTCAAAGTGAAAATTCATTGTAATTTTAATTGTGAAACTGTCAATCAAAGTATTTGAATTTTCATTCAAAAAATATTAATGAGAATAAATTTTAAAAAACAGACTTTAAACACAGAAATTAAAATATATAACTTTTTAGATATTATATTCTAGATTACCAAACAAATTCTCCTACAAGTAGTTAATCACTTGAAAAGCATTTATTTACAAGGGAAATCGTTAGGGTGTTTTTACAAAAAATAACTTCAGAATTGTTGGCTTCTGGTGAAGATTTTTTGTCCAGGGGCAAGAATAGCAATTGGGTCAAACGTTGACTTCCTCTCGACAAATCTTGACCATTGATTCCCGAAATGCTTTTCCCATTCCTCCGTCGAGTTGTAGTGTGGAAGGTACAGTTTGAAATCCAGCCCGTTTTTAAGGCAAGTTTGGACTATTTCCCGGTTCTGAGCCAACAGCTGCTGGACCGGCGGACCGGCCGGATATGGAAGGCTGAACCGGAGAAGTGCCACTAGATAGAATATTTCCCCTTCCGGCAGTACCACTGAAGTTCGGCTGTCCCACCTAGTTCAAAATATTTTTTAAAAAAATACAGTTAATAAATATCATTGTGTCACAAAATAAAAGATATAATTACTAGTTGTAAGATTTAATTTTTTTTCCAGTAATTTTCGTTCAAAAATTATCTTTTCATTCACTATTTATTACAGGGTCAAACTTGACTTAGTTTGTTGACCAATTTTCTTTACCCATTTAATAAAATAATACTCCGATCCCCATGTATTGCTAAGATGTTCTCATTTTAATTTTTTGGTGAATTTCAAAGAAAGTTGAAAAGGATGAAAATAGGTCAAATTTTTATTTTAAAGTCAAAATCAACTTGTGAAATGCTATTGAAGGGGGTGGGGGTGTTCGGGTCGGGGCGTGGTGGCGGGGTGGGGGAGTTTATCGGGGGTTAGGAGAGTAGGAACCGTCAATTTTACGAACGGATCATTAGAGCGCCCCGAATTATCTCATGACATTGGTTCCAAATGTCTTGGGAACCAAGGGGAGAAAACAATCAAGTCAAGTTCTTATTGGGCCTGTTTGGGAATAACGTTAGCGCTATTTCCAAACAGACCCATTTTAAACGATGAAAAAACTTTTGATACACGGGTAACGATAAATGAAGTAAAAGAATTTTTTTGAGATAGGAACGAAAAGATGACGTCGTGGGGGGAGAGTAACGGTTACGGCATCTTTGTCCAAAAGAAGTATCCGTTCTTCAGGTATGTACAGTATATATATATATATGGGCCCACAGGCGGCCCCGTCACCGAAACGGTGACGTGAATAAGGTAGAGATACGGTACAATACGCACGGGGGATGGTATGACACTATGACGTCGTTTAAAGCCGTGAGATCTTGTGGGCCCCCCATCCATTTATTTTGTTGCCTATCTCCGTGTGGTGGGAAAGATATTTGCCCACGCCCATCCATTTATGGACCATATCTTAACTACCCACATTGAATTTGTGGCATTTATTTTCTTCTCTTTCCTTTTTACACCCACTTTAATCATCATTTTTATTATTCTTTCTACCTCACTATCTTCATTTAGTTTCACTTCTTTTATGTCAATTGAACTAATTTTAATTATCAATTATTTTCAATTTGTATTGAATATTGATACAATTAAATATAATTTTTAAAGTTTTCACCAAAATAAATCTAATATATAATATAGTACTTCCTCCGTCCCTATAAATCATTTCACACATTATCAAACTTAAATCATTTTGTTTGTTTGTTTTATTACTCGTTTCGTAAAATAAAATCGTTTTGTTATACCTTATTTTGTAAAACTTTTTATGTATTTTTTATTCTATTGAAAATTTTGTGTGGAACTTAAAAATAATAAATATACATGTAAAACATCTACAAACTTAGATGTGAAATGACTGTGTTATTTTACCAAATGAACGAAAATAGACTAATAAAATAGATAAAATTTGACACAATAATTAACTAATGAATGAGAATATAATTTTAGGACAGACGGGGTACTTTTTAAAGGTCTCGTTTTACATGAACGTTAAAGGTTAGTATTAACGTTTTATTAAAACTATCTGACTTTGCGCTAGTATTTTCATAATTAATCTACGGCGTTAAAATGTTATCGAAACGCTAACGCTGATCGAAAACCGTGATCCCAAACAAGGCCAAAATATATTTCAAATGGTACCACAATAATTGAAAGAATATATCAAGGAGGTGACTTACTTGGAGCGAAGCAAAGGATAGACAAGCATGGGGCCGCCGACCCCATGCTTGAGCAGGTTCTTAAACACGAGCTGATCGAAGCAAGCCATGTCGGATTGGGAGACGAAGAGGTTGAGCCAGGGGTGCGGGGCATCCCATATCCCGTTCCCTCTAGCCAACTTCTCTGCTCTCTTCACGCGCGATAGAAAGTCAACGTACTTCACATCTGTTTCCCACCTCAAATTCTCGCCGTAGCTCAGTCCTTCCATCGCTTCCTTAACTTTCTAAAAATCACATAAAAATTGTGAACATAACATACCAAATCACAAAATAATTTTTCATCTCGTTACTCATTTTGTCTTCTCATTATTATTTTTTCTCTAGTTAGTGTAGTTACCAAGAAAAATTGTTCTTTTAATACTTTTTTCACTTTCAAATGTTTTGAGCCAAATATAGCCTTATTTTCAAGAATCCATACAGAAAGGGAGGGGAAGCGGTGATTGAGACTTAGCTCGAGTCTCAAAGTCTAATAAGTTATT